GAAAGAGGAAGAAAGAAAGAAAATCACATTTATACTGCTGATTATAAGATTGAGCCTGGAAGGCACTGAAATATTTTGTGGATGAGAGCAGTGTAAGAACTAGAACAGCATAATTACACTTGGCTAATTCCTAGAGGAGTGAATCCTTGAGGCAAGGTCAGGCAAGGTCAGTGTTGACCAGGAGGAAAAAAAAAAATGTACGTTTTTCTTAAATCCCTCCCTGCACCTTGTCACTGCTATCCAAAGCTCTAAATCTCAGTCATTTCTTCTGCCCAACATCATGATTCTACTCAGGGAAAAGAAACAGAACCATTTGTCTCACGGAGAGTAATAATTTTAGAAACAAAACTCAAATTTTAAACATCTACTTAAATTTGTTTTTCTTCATCAATAAACAGACCAAAAAAGAAAAGCAAAATTCACTGGAATCTAAATAAATATGATTAATGAACAGACATTTGATATAGTCTACTTTTAGACATTGTATGAGCAAGAAAATAAAAATCTAAATTCCCAAAGAATATTAATTTTCCTGCTCTAACAGTTATTCCATACTGGTTTTAACATATTCTTGGTTAATAGTTAAACCCCACATTCATTTCAGATCTTACTGGTTAGATTGCTTAGGTGTAATTCTTTCCCCTCATATTTTTTCCTTTGATCTTTGTTAATTTTATACAGTACATATCTTATACTTGTTTGCTGCTCTGTATGCCTTACATTTTCAGTCTACACATGGTATCCCTGCTCTCAGGGTCTGAGTGTGGTTTCTGTTTTCAAAGAAAGAAGTAAGGGCCCAACTCCTGTACTTCTAAGAAACAGGAAGATACAACTCTGTTTTCTGAAAATCTTCTTTGGAATGATGAAGTTGGAAGATCCAAAATTTTGGATTGTTGTTCAAATTGAACAGATCTATAAACTTTCTTATAATTATGAAAGAGAAGTAAATATCTGATACTTTCATGAACACACGGTCTGTGTTTAAAACTGGTTTAAGGAATCTGTCAGCAGGTCTAACAAATCAAAACCTGACTTTCCTTTTTGATTTCAGAAAATATTGAGGCAATAGTAATAGATATCACAATATTGGACATAGATTATATAAACAGAGGCATATACTGGCATTTATTGTCCCTGTAACTTCTTAACAAAGCTCAGAACATTACATATTGTTTATTTAGACAATAACTAAACCACAGATTACAGGGGGAAGAGATGTTAGATTAAATTATAAAAGGGAGGAAGTGTAATTGTCTAGATGATCTGCAAGTACTCTGATGTTTAGCACAAGGCATCAGTCCTGAACACAGTTTAATCTGTTCCCGTATCCTTCCTGCCGTACAGCAAATATTAGGGTATTGCTATATTTGGTCTCAGGTGCTAATATGACAATCAGTATGTGTACACAGCCATGCCTGATACACCAAGGCTACTGTTGAGGTGTGGTCATGGATGGAGAACTTCAGACTAAAAGGGTCTGGGTACGCAAGCTTCTAGACAGTACTTGCTGTTCAATGAAGAATACTGAGGAGGGTCATATAATTTCCCTGTGAGAATAATTGTTAGGTACTTTGTTATTTTGACTACAGTACTCCTAGAGATACAGTATGGTATCATGTCAGTTTCTAACACTGACTTACAAGGGTTTCCCTGGTTTTATTTTTTTAAATAGATAATAATGAAAAAGTAAAGCAAAGCAAGGAAAAAACCCTAATCCCTGTGCAACCGACGTGCTTTAATGTTTTTAATGTGGTTGCTGTCCTGGGAGCGAGCTAGCTTGCTTTGAAAAAGTGTGCTGTGAGTTACACATAAAAAGTTAATCCTTCTTCCTACCACCACCCCTGGCACCCAAGACCAGAAATGGTGTTTGAGGAGAAAGCTGGTTTGTGTTAGCTGAAGTTCTAGTTCAGCACGTTTTTGTTGTCTGGTGAGAACCTACTTTAAAGAAGATTACTATTAAGAGTTCCTTAAGAATGAACTGGAAAATTCAACTGAAAACTGTTTTATCGTTTTCTAATTTCAAAATACATTACTCTTCTGGACATTATATTGATGTTTCACCATTATCAGACCTGTGCTATGAACTGCCTAGCCCTTAAGATCCATTGGATAAACCTCAAGAAAATGACATTCACTGACCCTTGAATAAATTACTGTGGTATAAAGTTATTCTAACTAGGAAACTTTTTCATTTACATTTTATCAGATGTACTTCATCTTACTGCAGGGAAGTTTAAAGAACACACCAATACAGTATGGTAGACCATAATGAACAAACTATGGTAGCACTTGTATCATAATGTCCCTAACTCTTAAGTCATAAAAATATAATCTCCCACAGAAAGCAGCCTTTTTGCCTACAAGAAATGTGTTCTTTTCCACTCAACTGACTCGGTTAAGTTATTCTTAGTCACAGGGATGAGCTACGTTCTGGAGAGAAAGGAATGAGAATTCAGAGCATAGTAGATGATGCCCGCACAGTGAAAAATTGAGCTGTACTTCTAATTCACTAAGGAAAATACAAGATAAAATTATGGCTACTTATTTCTATAAAATGAAGGCATTGGTAGTAATGAGCTATGTTCAGTAAAGTAAAAATTTTGACCCTGCTATGGTTATTGCTATTATGGTTTTATCAGAGGAAAGAATTATCAGAGGTGAGGAGGGCAAGATAATATGCAGGATTTGTATCTCCAGATAATCTGTATTTCAAAACCTGGTTATTTGTATCAAACCAAAACTAGTTGTAGGAAAATGGTAGCATAGATAGCAAAAGGCACTTAAATTAAGTCTCTACTCTGCCTTGTTCAGATGGATTTTAAACCTCTGCTATTACCACCCCAGTGATACCCATCACCCAGTTATTGGTTATTTTTGAAAAAGGTATCTAAATGTCCACTTTTTCTGGACTCTGATCTGGTATAGATATTGGCATAGTCATTGCAGAGAAGATCATTTGGTTACAAAAATCTTTCAGTTACAGTTATTAAAGCTGTTCTCAGAGAGCTTAGTTGTTCTTTGTAGAATATATCCATTGGTCTAGACAGGAAAAAAAAA